TCTGCTGAAAACTAGGGTATAGAAATCTCTACTTAAGTGGTTAAACGGGAATCTACAAGTAATTAGAAAAGCTAGCAACGAAATGCAGAACACTGTATGGAGCCCAAGAGAGGGTCCAAAGAGAAACTTTCAATCCTCACTAGGCCAGAAAACAATGGAACAAAACTGGAATCCCTTTGAGCATCAAATGGAATAAGAAAAACAAGACACTTCACCCAAAAAATGTTCTCATATGGAATGGAAGTAATGATCAGAACCTTTTTTGACAAAGCAGGTGGATCGTTGGAAGATAGAAGTTGCTTTCTGAAGTTTTTTGCAGCCTCTTCATGATTACCCTTATCAGTAGTAAACACCAAATCATTCAATTCAGCCAGCGTATGACGATAAAGGAGTCGACGCTTTTGTGGCTTACATTCACACAAATGTTCCCAGTGCTACAAGCAAAACTCATGGTTAGTCAAGAAAACAGATACAACAACCAAAATTGATGACTAAGTATGACAAAGATTACACAGAATGCCAATGGCAGTACTGTAGAGCATTCAGCAGTTTAATCACTAACCCCCACCCCCCCCCAAAAAAAAAAGAAAAAAGAAAAAACCATCCCAAAAGCAATAAGGACCAAATAATTCACCACAGGCTCTAGAATTAATAAATCAAAACTTAAGCTGCATGATGATGGGAAAGTCCTATCTGTTGTAATATTAGATATTTGGAACCCTATATTGTGTTAATTTACATTCAAAATATATTGATACTGGAGGAAGAACAATGCTGAGAATGTCCTAGCCTCCTAGATGCTAGAATGAACGACCTACAAGGAAAATATGATTTTATGCTTCTACAATCAGCTAAGTTAAGCTTGAATTTGGCCAGAGTAACATTCTATAGACATTAGACAGAATAGAACTCATAGAAGCATATCACATATAGGAACTAGCGAGACAAGAAAAACAACTTATTGTTGACTCCTTGCACAAATAAAAAATTCTTACCTCAAGACAAACAAAAGATGATGGTGCACAGCTGCATACTACAGCAGAAAGATACAAATATTGCTGGCATATGATGCATGTAGGATCCTTCGAAGAAGAAACGGTAAAATTTGTCAAATACACTTCAGAACACACTCATAGTCAAAAATTCAAGAAGACATCAAAGTTAAAGTACCTCCTCCGTGCCCACATATTCAGGCTTCCGACGAGGCGGCATGGCAGAAGAATTAACAATGCCATTTTTCCAAAGCCGCTCTCTCCAAGACTTTTCTCTAGAATAGATCCTGGCCAGTTCTGTTTTTAAGTAAGGTGCTGCCTTGCTGTCAAATTCACTCTGCAAGGTGATGAAAATTGTTAAATTGGCATGACTAAAATTTAAAAGTAAATAGAACTATAGAAGCATGGAAAAGTTATCTACAAAAATACCAAAGCACAACAATAGTTCTTCAGAAGAAGCATCAATTAGCATAAGTTTGGTCGAAAACTTAGAAAATATTATAGGCAGAGCAGTCCAAGAGCTACTCAAAAAATTTAGTGCACCAAAGGGTAATCCCAACCACAGAAAGCATGTAAAGAGCCAGATTTTACATCCATGGGCAAAGAACGAATAAACAAAGCATTGGCCACAGCAGGCCATGGAAAATGGCGAACAGGACTAGGATACAGACCCTGGCTACTGCACAGAGCAGCTCTTCATGAGACAAAACAGCAGGTTTGCGATAAAGCTGGTAAAGATCTGCTCCAAATCCACCATGAGGTAACCAGTCGGCAGGGGCAAAATTGACAGCCTCAGCACAATTTAAGCCTGCAATTCCAAGATGCAGGTAAGACTACAGGAGAGAGCTGCATCATGCATGACTAGCATTTGAATAAGAACGAACTCTTCGAACTTTTTGCAAACCAAAGATAAAATAGCAAAAATGCATGGCTCACCGAAGTTGAAGCCTCCGTGATACGATCTGGGAAAGGTAATAATGAAGTCCCCAGGCTCCTGCCATAAAGCAAAAACAAGCCACATAAATGAAAAGTGGAAAATGAGAAAAGCTTTAAAATTGGTTCCTCTCTACACTGGAAAGTCTGTCATGAAGGGGATCGTAAGTACTGTTAAGGGGATATTGCTTATTGAGTTACAGCTTGCTACTAAAGTCAAATGACAATATATATTCATAATTTGTTGAATATCTTTGGTCATTAGATTGCGAATTTCTTCAGAATTATTATTATTTTCTATACAGTGTACTCTATTCCTCAATCCTACTTTGCTTAATATTAGGACTTTAAGTTTTCTCCGCATTTTTGCTTACGGTTCCAAACTCAAAGGATAACGGGCCCCCCCCCCCTCTCCACTTAAATCCAATACCATGCTTTTGTCTATAGCAAGATTCGAACTCGTGACGTGCGCCTAACCATACATCACACCCTGAGCTCTTACCACTAGATCAAAGCTATGGGGGGCACATTTCTCCCACATATTAGTACTATAGACAGGTAAAGGAAAAGGCCTCGTGTTGCTTAAATTCTTCAAGTAACTTCTGGTCCCAAATGCATGACCATGGTAAAGAATTAGGCCCCTGCAATATAGATCATTTAATTTGCATCCTTGTTGTAAGAAAAAAAGTTTAGGCAACCCCAAGGCTCACGACAGCCTAATTCTAATGGGTTTGAGAGATAACATGTACCTTTGATAATGAAGCTTGGAGGCCAAATGACAAAATACAAAACTAAAAGAAGAGAAAAAGTGTGGAAGAATTTTAACCAATAACATGGAGGACGAAATATAAAGAGAAAACAAGTTTCAAAGGATGATGCCAAAAATTGTTCTGAAACATATATTAAAGGTAACTGTAGTAGTGTAGTGAAGAAGTAAAGACAAAACGCCAGCTGTTTATCACCTGCTTATCGCTCACCGTTTTTGCAATCCTCGGGTTCTATCCAACTACAGAGATTCAGAATACCAGTAGACTCCTGAAAGGTCACCCTACTCTGACATGTAGCCTTAGAAAAAGATATTGTTAATTCAAACTCTTTTTCAATGTGTTTTGTGTGATACCCCTCATAAATCCTGATTTTTTACTGCATCTGTTGTGGGTGGCATAGGAGTGCTGACACAGTTATTTTTTTATTTTCCTAATTTATACATTTGGGCTATGGAAAGATAATAGTATCCTCCACCAATATCAAAACATACGGAATGTGAATCAAACAGCCAATAGTAGTTTAAAGGACCTTAAACACCAATATGCAACGACATACAACTGGCATAATCAATACTTCAGGCACCGAACAAAACGTCCTGCCGAATCTTAGGGACCATAAAATATCTTTATTCTCTATTTTTTCCTACAGTTTTTAGATTCAATAGAAGTACCATTTTCAATTGAATTGGAAAAAACTGTTTTCCTAGTTTCTCAACAAAAACTTAAGCTAAAATATCTATAGAAAGAAAATCCTCCTATCTCCTGGCCATATAATAGTTAAACATAAGTTTGGAAGCGGAAAAAAAAAAGTTTGGCTCCACAAAACAGTAAAAATTACTATGAAAAGCTCTCCCTTTTTATCACTCTCCGGACAGTTTCTCCTTATTTTCATGCTCTTCTATTTACGAAGAAAAAGACGCAAATGCAGTATCATGACATCGTCCATGAATTTTGGCAGGAACTACCAGAAAGCTACAAAGGAAAAAGACAGAGCAGGACATAAGGAGAAACATCTGAGTATTAAGTCCTGAAACAAACCTGTACTACATTATAAACAGGAACCCCATTTTCTTGCAACACACGTGGATTCAGCATGGTTACAAGCTGAAATAGCAGATCTGGTTGCGCATCAAACAGATCGGGAAGGCTATTACGCATTACCTGCATAAAATTTGCTAGTTACAGGACAGCAAGAAAAGGTCCAAATTTTGAAATTTATGAGGGAAAGCTACATGTAAAAACCATTTATAAACATTGATACAAGTTAACTGACAACAGCAATCAAGTATTCCTTTATCACTTCTCAAGCGGCTAAAATAGGAAAATAACTAGCATCAATGCAATGTATCAAGGAACATGGAAAAGGTAATCTCTCTATGCCAAGACGTAATGAAAGAATATGCAACAGCTCTTTTAACACTAACTAGACACAAACTAATACAGATAAGAAACCACAACTAATGATATCCAAACCCCTAATGAATAGGGATTATTTACATCTTCCAAAGCACCTCCTGGTAAAACCCTGGATGTTGGTTACTCATGTTATTGTATATAGTCATCTATTACTTGTGGGTTTAGCAGGACTCCAGCTATGCTCTACATCTATCAAGTTAACACGCCAGAATAACCGGTCTGAACTCATTCATTTATACATGGAAGTAAAAGGTAAAATAGATTATCATTTACTTCTCATATGAGATGATTCAAATCAATAGAACTGAAGAACCAAATAGTATGAAGAACTAAAGAACCAAACAGTATGAAGAACAAGAATATTTCCCATGACCTTAAACTTGCCTCATTTCAGTTCAACCATCTCCATAAAACCATTTTAAGACAGAGGACAAAGCTCTCATTAAACTAAAATCTCATGAAAGCCAACATTCAAATATCAAGAACTTGGATCAACATGTATTCGCGTCAAATTTCCATTCATAGTAGAAGAGATATGTTTTAACTTTACTAGCCTACAATTTGTAAATACTCAAAAGCAAAAGCTATGACACTAATGAAGGATAGGAAGTGTTCAGAATGACCTTCTCAAAAGCTTGGGCTTCATTTCCAGGAACACTATACCAACATTTCGGCTCTCCCCTGAAAGGAAGCAGGAAGAACTAATTAACTGATAAATTTATCAAGATTCAATCAATGATTATCAGGATACTGGTCGTGCACAAAATAGAAGACATCAAAGCAATGATATCATGAGCTTAATCAACCTGATTGCAGAAAAGATATCAGCGGGAAATGTAAATGCACCGGTCCGATAAGATACTATGATAACTGGAAGTGTTAAAAAGGGACAAGTTAGACCTAAAATCGCATTTGCAAGCAATCGGGAAAGGCCTACAACACTTGAAATCCACATGGAGTTAGCTAGGTGTAGAACATAATGGAAACAACGTGTCCGTATAGGTGATACCAACTAGTTAGAGACGAAGGTTTAGTCGTTGGTGCTATCATTTAGCCGGACTCAACTATTTAGGGATTGAGGTGTAGTTGTTGTAATCAAGCTTCAATAACCAATTAACTATGAAATGCATGGAGAGACAGAAGAGAAAAAGGAAGCTCCACTCAGTTGGCCAGGAAGTGGTCACATCACCACACATATAAGCCACAGGTACTTCATGGTGCATGCTAGGCAATTGTAGAGGGCGTTCACGGATAAATATAACTTACTTATAAGAAATAGTTAACAGAAAGGAAAGGTTATTCAAAAAAAAGAGCAAGCTTATATCCCTTGTTTCCCTTTCCTCATACTTTATTTTGGATTTAGACGGGGGGTTTTCTTTTTCATTTTTTGGGGGGAGGGGCTAGATTGGTTAGTGGGTGATGAAAAGAGGATATGAAGCCAATGGACATCTAATAGATGCATCAACACTTTAAAGGAGTAATTTCGAATCTACCTAATTTGGGCAAAAAATGAGATAAGCTTCATGGCGTTAGGTACTACGAAACATTTCAGCAGAAGAGAAGTCAAAAGAGGATACACTGAACAAGTGACGAATCTACCGGCGAGCTAGCAACCTAAGCAAGACCATCAAACCACATCAGCCAAAAACAGTTGAACGGGACCTAGTGAAAGCACAACCTGTAGATTGTGAAAACCCAATAAACAACGCTACATGGATTTTACAAAGCTCATTTGTAAGATTCGCACAGATTTACCAACATGCCAAATTTCTAACCTTATTAGGAAAGGCATGTCACATCACATTAGGCAATAATGGAAAGAAATTAATATCAAGACCAAATGTAATAAAAGTATCTGCAAGAACTTTCGTAGCAACGCAACCTAAAATAACTTACTTATCTTGAATTGCATACACGTTTAAATAAGATGAAACTACTGGTTAGATAGAGGTTTCTGACATTTCTATGAGCAATTATATGTTGTTTAATGAATCGAACTTATTATTTTCTAAATCAATAACAAACCTTTTAAAGTGGATCTTCTTCTTTTGTTTGTCTGGTATGAAATTTATTCTTTTACTATCATGGTGACTTTCAGCATAAATGAATAAGAGCTTTTTTTTAATAAAGTAAGTAATTCTTTTAATATTATACAAGCCGTACACAAAAAAAAGTAGAGAAAGAACACAATAATATGGTTCTCCTCCAATCAAATTTGTCATATGGTCACTTATTTCATAGGAATAAAAGAAATGGACTTAAGATACAAATAATAATTGGCAATCATACCAGTGAAGATAATTCATGGAGTAAAAGCAGTGGTCTTCAAAATGCCAGCAGAATGAGGAGAATAGCATTCCGATATACAGCCAAGGCACCATAACACCAGCAATGCTATGATGTACAGCTCGAAGCATCGAACCTGGCAACTTGGGTAAGTTATTGAGATTCCATGGGCTAGCACTATATTCATCCCATGTACCTTGTTCAACTGATGATAGTTTTTCGTCGGTTACACGTGGAAATCCACTACCATAGATGGAAGTATCCAAGTCACTGCCATACTTCACTTCAACCTCCCCAGCTGATCCGTCCACAATTTCCCAGAACTTCTTTTCTAATTCCACTTGTGAAATAGATGCGGAACCAAGCCATTTTTTCCTGGCACGATCAGCAATGCGCCTAAATGCGTCCAATGGTAAGTCTCTACCGGGTGCAAAACCGAAGCTGTCCTTTTCAGAATTCAAGCATTGCAAGCAATACCAGTTCCCAGGTGGAATTTGTTTCAGAGGTGGTGATAAACAGTAAATATGCCACCCTTTATTGCACCGATCACAGAGAAGCATCACCTCCCCGTGCAATCCACTTTTGCATTGTTCACATATTTGATCATGTTCTTCCTCCTTCGCCTTACACGTTTCAGTTCGGTCACACTCACTATTCTTTCTCCTTCTCTTTGAACTCGAGAATTGGGAGTCTGACTCCCTTTTTCTCTCACTTCCATTTCCTCTCCTGTAACTTTTATTTCTCATCTTATTTAACTTATTATAGTACTCTTCATAATCACACAAATGTTCCAGGTACAACTGACATAATACATGCTTGGCGCACTCCGAAATCTTCCCAGCAGGTCGTACGAACCTAAAAACCTCGCCCCACTTCTTTTCCTTAGCTACTTTATCGTACCCTCCGAGCCGCTTGACGGAATTAAAGAACTTACACAAATTAAGCTCCTCCCCCTCAAACACAACACGTTTCTTCGCCGCCTTCTTCCCGCAATGCTCCTCTAGGAACCTATAGTACTCTAATTCAAAGGTCTTCGGATCGCAAGACGCGCACCGAGCCTGTAACTGATGAATCGCTTGCGTTTTCGTCGGAAACATGAAGGCATTCAAATCCAATGCAAAAGGGGGTTTCCAACTCTTAGGTGGGATAATTTTACAAATGCCATATTTCTCAGCCTCTGGCCTGATCTTGTAAATAAACCCTAAAGGGTCCTTAAATTCATCCTCAGTTGGATAATACACTGGCCCGGGTGGTATATTCAATAACCCAATTGGGGATGCACTTGTATTTTGCCCTAATTCTACAGCCCTAGGCCTCCCTCTCCCCATTATTAATGCAACTACTAACTATATCATCAAGATAATCAACACCCAATTACAAAATCTGCATGCAAGATTCATATAAACATTCAAAATATGTCTCGAATCACTATAAATTCAAGAATCTTGAAATTTAAAGGAACATTTAACTATTAAAAATGAAATCTTTAACGTACCTTTGTGGAATAATAAAGGACATAAAAACCAAGGCTTGGTAGATTCTTGTCCCTCAATATATGTCTGCAAACATGTGTGTGTTTTTTGTGTTTAGATAGATATCTCTTGTTTGGTTTTTAGTTGTAAAAAAACGGTGTTTTTCGTTAGTCTTCTTTTAGCTTTTTTCTTTTTCTTTTTCTTTTTCTTTTTTTTCTTCCCTTTTGTTTAAAGGTCAGTTCGTTTGCAGTTTAATGAGAACTGAGATTTTATATAAAAAGGTCTCTAAATCAGAAAATTAACGAAAATGTTAAGGAATCTCTTGGACTTGAGGAATCTAAAGCGCGTGTGATGTAACGTGATTTGATTCTGACGAACAATGATGGTGTTAAAATGTTATCTCACAAAATTAATTAATAAATATAATGATATATACGTTTAATACATGTATTTTTACTTTAATTTTATCCACTAAAATTAAATTGATTAATTTGGTGTCATTACACAATAGGAATAAGTATTTATCGTAAGGATAATAAGAGCAAAAGAGTATGAAGCACAAGGTGCAATTTTTTTATTTGTAAAAATACCGAACTAATTATGTTAATTTGCTAAACTAATAAACTAAACCAAACCATTATAACTTTGATATTTTTGTTTTTTCTCAATCATGCTAAATCTACGTCAATGTGACATACATTGAAATTGAAACCATTTGCACACCTAGTTTGTAGTTGAATTAATAGTTAATCGTTTAGTATCTCTCAATAATTGATTTTATGTCAACATAAATATAAGGCGGCACATCTTATTTTACTTTTAAAAATTAAACGATCTCACTTTTTATTTCCATCTTGGTGATCTACTAATTTTAATAACTTGTTATACACTATTCAATCCAAATTATTTATGATTCAAGCAATTTCGTATATACGTAAATAAAACTTATATTTTTAACTTACAGTTCATTTTTTAAATTAGAATTATTATGAAGTTTCTCTCACCAGAGAATAACATAATTACTAATTGTTATGTAGTGTAAAAGTAGGTTAGTCAAACTTTTAAGATCGCTTTAATGGTTACTTAGTTTTCTCACATATGATTCCTTTTTTTTATTTACAATAAGTTATTAATGGTTTATATCTTTAATTGTTACATACATTATGCATTAATAATTGGTGAAAATATTAGTGATCAAGTTTTCGATTCATTTCGTTTTACTTATATAACTTTTTTTTAGTTATATTTAGTATTAACTTTTTATATATATAATTTCTATGTTTAGTTCGACTTCGTTTTAATTTTTTTGTTAACCACCAAATAAAATCAAATATTACCTCATTTTCATCCACCACCTGTTCAAGTCAAGTCAAACCACAAATTGATCATTTGTTGGTTTGACTTTTAGTCTACCCTTAAGTCAATGGAACAAGATTTTGGCGTGTTAACACGCTCTTGATAGGTGCGTGTAGTAGTTATGATTGCAGTGTAATTGTGGAAACTGTCTAGGGCTTTTCGCTGATTGGCCCGTGGTTTTCTTGACCTAAAAGGAAAAACAGTGGGCTAATAATAAAAAGTCAAGTTTCCCTAGAATGTGGCCCGGCCCATATAAAGTTTCTGGACTTATCAGTTCTTTTGGGCCCAAGTATATGCACTGACTGCAATAAACATTTTTTATAATCCGGACCAGCTCGGGTGCACCGATTGATAATATTGCCGGCCAAGTAGAGGAATCCAAAATCTAAATTTAATAGGTTCAGTATTAAACTCAATATACTATTAAAATTATGGGTTCATTTATATGATTTGTTGAAATTTTTGTAAATTTTTACATGTCTATATCCATGTCGAAAGTTATGGGTAATAGATGGAAGGAAATCAACTAATATTATTGCCTCTTATGCGATTTGAACTATGGTTCTCAATGCACGTTATTGACCGTTAAGCTAATCATTTAGGTGTACCATTCAATGACATTACACAATTTTCAATCAAAACCTGAAGCAATCTTTCATAACCCTCTGTTTTTTATGCCTCTTGTATTTTACTTAGGGGTCGTTTGGTACGCAGACCAAAATTATTTACGGACTCCCTGGACCAATTCATCCCACCTAGGAGGTGGGATAAAATAATCCTAAATTTGATGTAGATAAGATGGGATAACGAGGATTAAGTCTAGAATTAAATTTATACTATATTTGGTTGGCGGTACAAATTTATTCAGGGATAAACTATAATATCCCTGAATAAATATACTATCATAGTATATTTAATCTCATACCTTATCCCGCATACCAAACATACTATCATAGTATATTTAATCTCACACATTATCCCGCGTACCAAACGATCCCTTAAAGAGATGTGTATTTTGATCAACCACTCATATTTTAGCCACACAACCAACCATGGTAACATGTTAAAAGTACACGTGTTAACAATAATTCAACAAATTGATTACTGAAAGGATAAAGTGAAGCTCTATTACTGAAACTCTTGAATTCAGTACACTAAAAGAGCTAATAATTCAGTGAAAAACCAGTAGTCTTCTGATCATATAGGGGACATGCACTTAACATACTCGAGCAAATGTGAACAAATAATCATGGATAAGGCTGAACATTATGCATCACTACTCCATTTTGCAACTGATAACTCCACTGCTGGAAATGTAGCAGCTTTCTGTGGTAACAATAATGCAGTATCTACCTGAAAATATCACAGTAATTGCTGCAAATCACAGGATATATTGCTCATTTTGAACAGTAATCTTTTCAAGAATTTAGCTCACAAATGCTCGACAATGTGTGTGTGCGCGCTGTGTGTGAGAGAGCGAGAGAGGGAGAACCTAAGCATTAACAAGTAATGCTGGTGATTATGGTCAGCCAAGGTTCATTTATTTCATTTGCAAGGCAATGTTACTCTTCTGGGAAAAATGTATGTCCCAGTGTATAAAAATGCTATTTGGAAGCAGATTGATCAGATCCAAGGTGAGCTACATATGACGTTTCGTGCCATATGATACATGTTACAGACAGATCTTAATCTAGCTAGATTATTTGTCTCACGATAGACAAAATTCGCAGATATCTCTCAAAAAGAAATTGAGAAATCATTTACAACATATGAAATGACTTAATTGAAATGCACTCTCAAACAACTTCAATAGAGAAGCTCCTCAAAGACAGGATCCACGCTTCGTCCCCACTTCCCATGGTACAATTCCAGGAGCTTCTCAGCTGGTGTTACACCTATCAGTAGTAATAGATACATGTCAAGTACAGCGAACAGTTCAATCAAAATTCCAAACAGCTCGAGCAGTTTAAAGAAAGTAGTATCATTTTGACATCGTGTTGTATCCAGAGAACAAGCAAAGAGATACTAACACAAGTTCAAAAAGATTACTTACCTGTTTTGACTACCTCGGTTACTTCATTCAAAAATCCTGTTTCCTTATAGCCTCTTCTCTCCAAGCCTTCCTGAAGATCAAAAATCAAACCAATAAGTTAGTAAACATGTAGAAATATGACAAGCCGTGGAGCATTAGAAGCGTTAACCCACCTTCGCCAACTTGACAACATCTTGAGCAACATGCTTAAGCAATCCATCTCGAAATGGTGTCTTCAAACCGCTTGTTGGCACCTAGCAAAACGGGTGATATTAATCATCTCTAATACTCTGTATAAGTTCTTAAACGACAAATTCTGAAGAACTGCAAATTATAACTTGATGAAAAACAAATGTGTGCTTTATGAAGAGTCCATGATACATTGCCCCTCTTTGTTTTCGAATGATTTTGCTTGTCCAAACGTTCATGCATGAGAAAAGAGAGAACTGTAATAGGATATATTACCTTATTCCTCAACATCTCTCTTTCTTCTGCAGTCCAATCAGACGTCATGTCCAAAACGGTTTGCAAAGACACCTCATCGTAGAGTATACCCACCTTGAAATTAAACCAAAAAAAAAGATTAACTAAGCTATCGGGTTCAAAGTAGACCATAAGAAACGTTGAACAGTCCCAACAAACAGGAGAAACAGAAAGAAGTTCCTCTCAGTGGGAGGGGAGGGGAGCACAACCAGAGGCAGATCCGGGATTTCAACTTTATGGGTTCTTGATTTAGAACGACTTCAAGTGCTAATAACGGGGTTCTAAATTTAATATTTGTACATATTTAATGAAATTTTTAACATAAATATAGTGTTTGAGCAAAAGCTATTGGGTTCAGCCGAACCCGTATCCGAGCTTCTAGCTCCGCCCCTGAGCACAACCATATCTTATTCTCCCTTTCTCCGTTGCTTTTCCCATTGTTGGAAGTGGATGCGGTTAGGCAAAACCTTGCTGCAACTACTATTGTTTCTATCTGTAAGGTCACAACATAATACTAGCTTTCTTTCTTGTTTTTTCCAAAAATCAACATCATGATCCCTAGAGAAACAGATTTCATACCCAGAATGCAGGCAATGCACACAACCTTCTCCAAGGTCCTCCATCGGCACCTCGCATTTCCAGATATCTTTTGAGTCTCACCTGATAAAGTTAACCCAAGTTAATATTTTCATAAACTATACATAGACAAACCAGCGGTAAGGACATTTTCTCGGATGAAGCTTGCACACCTCGGGAAATATTGTTGTGAGGTGATTCTCCCAATCATTAAGAGTAGGGTAGTCGCCGGGAATAGGCGGAAGTTTTCCATTCATGAAGTCCTGCAGCAACGTTGTTAAATAAGCACAAGCGAATGACATACAAATCTGTAATGTTGACAAAATAACTTACCCGGAAAGACATTCCAGCACAATCAATATACTTTTTCTTCCGATAGACAAAATACATAGGGACGTCAAGTGCATAATCCACATACTGCTCAAACCTGTGCCCATTAGAACAGAAAGTGTTTGCTTTGACAATGAAGTCTAACCATGGAAGTTTTGGAGATGTCAAGGAATGAATTCATTAACATTAAATACAAATCCTCATTTGATTCCTAACACATCATGTAACCCTGCTGAACAGTTCTCAAAGCAAGTTCGGACAACACATTTCGAACTCCAATAAATTTTATCCATTTTCCTAACCCATCTCGACTATATAACGTAGGACAAGGTCATTCATAGTGAAATACATTTAACAAAAGGACCATGGGAGTAAGAGTACAAGGGTAAACATGCTTTCTTCTGACAAATCAAGAAGCCTTTTG